CCTACCAATAACAATGATCTCACACACTTCTATTCCAGTCAAGATACTAAGACCAAAAGAGGCATCATCATCAGATTTTTCCTATCAGCATACCGAATTTATAGTCCTGAGTTTCTAGACGAGGAATGTACATACATTCACCAAACGTTCACTGATTACATTTTCCTTCATTTTTCATCAAAGATTGCAAGAAAAGAGCTCTTCAGATCATTAATTCTCCATGCACCAACACCATTCCTAACAAAGTTATAATTCTTCCCAACAACCAGGTTGCACTGAACATTTCTAAAGTACTTTCACAAGCTAACACTAGAGTCACCATCACTTCCACCACTTCAACAAAGGATCTAACCAGGACAAAATCCAAGCACCACGAACCAGTCAATGCAAGGGTTTACACTACATCCTGTGGAGGCTGCTACAAGATTCACATAGGTAAAACAGCAAAAAAACCTCAACACCCACCTCAATGAACACATTTATGCCTGTTGGAACAATAACTTGAAGAATGCCTGTGTACAACACAGGAATTCCACCAATCATCTCATGAAATTCAGGGATGCCCAATAAGTGATCAAAGAAACTAAACAAAGCAAAACAAAGGCAGCTTCACTATCTCTGAAGTCTTAGCAAGAATCCTCCTGAAAACAGTAAACCCTGCCATCACATAGTCTTTCCTGTTAATACCACACAAGCACATTACAGAGGATGAACACTGAAACAGACCTTCTCTAATTCAACCTCCAATAGAAATATTTGTCTTTTTTTTTTAGCTACCCAAGTAATAGCTTTTATATCCTTTTACTCATATGCAATTTAATTGCATTATTCCTACTACTACAATTTATATCACTACTACTACTACCACTAGTATTACACCTCACTTTAAGCCTATACATACCCTTTGTGTCCATATATTGTTTGTAATGGCTTGACAAAGCTCCTGGAGAGCGAAACATTGCCACAATAAAAATGTCACATTAGTTGCACTTGTGTCCTTTTACTTTACATATTGTCGGTAATTCTACCAACATTTTTACAAGAGATAACCTGTGGCATAATGAAGTGTTACTTAGTACTCATAAAAAGAGGTAAATATAAGTTTGTGTGACTGAATTACTGACTGACTGACTTAAAGTTAGACACTCCAGTATAATCATCGACTTCAATACCAGAACCTCTACCATCCACCTCAGCCCAGTAGGGCCACAGCATAACTCTCCACTCTTCACAATCATCCACAAACACCAGCATCCACAATTTAAGGTAAGAAATACTTTTATTTCTGTTACATTTGTAGTCTTAAGCAGTAAAAACAACATAATACATAACAATGAACTACAATTACATATTCACTTTTATTTTTGTAACTGGTGGAGGCCTAAAAAAAGTTGTTTGGCTTTTTTGGGGCTCTCTGGAATGTAACCTTATTTTTCCCACAAGTTCTTCAGTTCATCTAACACGGTTTTTACCTAGCACGGCATTTCCAGGAACGTAACTACTGTGTTAACCCTTACACTGTCCAAATGTAGATCTACGTTTGCATGCATAGCGCTCCGAACGTAGGTCAGTGTTTTATTTTTTATTCCTTCAAATTTGCCACAATAGGCTTGAGTCGCCTAGACATAAAAGAATGGGTCTGTGCACTCAATGTGCGCAGTATTAAAAAATCTGGGAGCACTTAGTACTTTGCGGGAGCACCAGTTCAATTGAGTGCTAGCTACAGCAAATAACGTGGGAAACACCAGTGATTCACTGATGCCATGTCGCATTAACACTCCCATTTTAAGAGGAAAGTAAAAAGAGGTTAGATAAATACATGAGTGAGTGTGGGTGGGTATGAGTTGGACCTGACTAGCTTGTGCTACTAGGTCTGATGTCATGCTCCTTCCTTCAATGAATGTGACCTGACTAGGTGCGTTATTGGTGTAAGCCAGGGTGGGGGGTGACATGGACCTTCCTTGCATGGGCCAGTAGGCCTGCTTCAATGTTCCTTCTTTCTTATGTATTCGGCAGGCTAGCCTGCTGGCTGGCTTGCTTTGGCTGTCTCTGGCTGTCTCTCTGTCTATATCTCTATCTGTCTATATCTCTAACTGTCTATATCTCTATCTATATCTCTGTCTATCTATATCTCTGTCTATCTTTATCTCTGTCTATCTATATCTCTGTCTCACATGTACACATAAGTACAGTTATTATACCTAGGATAACCCAAAAAATCCAGGCAAAGATAGACAGATAGATAGACAGACAGACAGATAGATAGACAGATGGACAAACATGTTTGTGTGTATCAGTGAAAACAAATTTAGCCAGGGTTCCCCGTACTCCCGTTTATCGAATGTCTCTGAGCTGATAACAGTTGTCATAACACCATTCTTCAAGGAGTTTCATATATGTATACTCCAGGCAGACAGAAAAATAAGCAGAGACAGACAGACAGGCAGATGGATAGGTAGACAGGAAGATAGACAGATAGATAGACAGAGACAAGACATGTTTGTGTGTAACAGTGATAACAAATGCAGTGAGGGTTAGCTGGAGCAGTGGGCATTTATCAAATGTCACTGGGCTGTCAACAGTACATATAGGGATGCCTTTCATAACACCATGCTTCAAGGTATACGCCAGGGTATCTAAAACATTGCTGGGACCTATAAATACTTTATATATATTTCTAGGCAATAATAAATAACCCAGGCAGGTGTAAATGTTCACCTGCCAATGTGATTTTGACTATTTGAGTGCTATTTCAGTATCTAATATTAGTGTCAGAACAAAGATTGGCTATGAAATCACAAGAATTATTATATATTGTAATTATCACAACATAAAAAATATACAGCAGGGCCCCACTTATACGGCAGGTTAGGTTCCAGGCTACCGCCGTAAAGCGGAAACCACCATAAAGTGGAACACCCTTTTTTTCCACTTATAAATGCATACAAACACTAGATAACAAGTTTACACTAACATATATTAAGTTAGCAATAGAACCAGGCATCAAAAAAAATAAAAAAGTACAATACACACATAGTGCACTCATTACTTACCTTAAAATATTTATAGTCTTAATCTAGGGTGAGACAAGTAGTATTTATTGTAAGAAATCAAGTGTGGTATGTATGGTAATCAGCCAGGCTACCTTACCAGGCCACCCCACCCAAACATACTATTCTATGATATTTAAGCATCCCAGAGCAATAAAATGTATATACAGTTCACTCATTACTTACCTTAAAATATAGGGTGAGATGAGTAGTATTTATTGTAAAAAATCAAGTGTGGTATGTATGGTAGTCAGCCGGGCTAGCATACCAGGCCAACCCACCCACACATATATTCTATGATATTTAAGCATCCCAGAGCGATAAAATGTATATACAGTTCACTCATTACTTACCTTAAAATATTTGTAGTCTTAATGTAGGGTCAGGAGTAAGTAAATGAGATAAAACGAATAAATGAGAGAGAGAAAGAATGAGTACATGAGAGGGGACAGGCGCAGAGTTATGTAAACAAACCAGGCGAATGTAAGTTTTGTAAACAAACGAAGTGTACACGTCTGGTTTGTGTACAAGTTACATTGTGTACAGGTTGTCTCTACATTGATACGGTAGAATTAATAAAGAAGAACACTCCCATTCTCATGTAACATCATTTTGAGAAGAAATGAAGCTCTGAGTGAAGGCAATGGAAATAAGTCACACTGACTTTTTTGGGTTATCCTAGGTTCTCTACACATATGTTGTTATGTATGATAATCTATGCAACTGTATTTGTGTATACCTGAATAAACTTACATACATACAAAAGGAATAATTTTCTACAGTTACCCCCAGTAACACATTTTCTCTTATGTTAGATTAGAGAAAATGTTATTCTTGCCATCACTTGTACAAGTTATCTGGCTCCCACATCTTATATTTATGTTTATTTATTCTATTGTGGGGTGTATTTATCATCTTTTTATGTTATGTATCGTGTTTATTATATAATTTTGAAAAAAATATCATGGATGGATTAATGAAAATGTGTATATTAATGTAATATACGACATTTAATGAGACTCGGTGAGTATTGTTATTATTATTATTTCTAATATGGCGTCACTTGTGCAAGTCGTCTGCTACCACATCTCACATTTATGTTTATTTATTCTACTGTGGGGTGTATTTATCTTATTTATATGTTATGCGTCGTGTTTATTATATAATTTTGAAAAAAAATATCATAGATGGATTAATGAAAATGTGTATATTAACGTAATATACGACATTTAAATGACTCGATGATTATTATTATCATTACTAATATGACGTCTGGAGACATAAGACACTTACCGATTTTAATGTGTACCTGCATGCCAGCACAGTATGTAAGTTTATTTAGGTACAGGTATACATAAGTATAATTATCAGAGTATATATAAAATATGAAATAACTTTTAAAAACATTTGAAATTTTGGAGTTTCCAGACAAAATGGAGAGACTTAGTGCTTACTGAGCTCACGGAGAATGTAAACAAACAGGGTGGGGCACGGTGACCGTATTAGAAAGTCAGGTGGGGGGAGCCGTATAGCGAGTTTTGGTCATAATTTGAAATGACCGTATTAGCGGAACGCCATAAAGTGAAACGCCGTAAAGCGGGGCCCTCCTGTATAAATGAAAATAAAAACGAGAAAAAAGGTATATCGGCAACACTTCTGCAAGCGGCAGGAGTCACTGTTGCCATCAGGTGAGCATCTAGAGCCAACTTCACGGTCTTATATCTCGGTAAGTACAGACCCAAAAAAATTTTTTAAACCTATAACATGTAAAAAAAATGTGCTCTTCATCTAAGAAAAAAAAATGTTTTTATTTTATTTTTCAAAATATTCAGAGTGCCACATGAGTGTACGTAGATCTATGTTTCGACAGTTTAAGGGGTAAATGACAGTCTACTGTAATTGTGATTTTTTAAATTTTATAATAATTCGTCCTTTAATTTTTTTTTTCAGTTTGGCTAGTAAGATTGCAACTACCTTCTTCTCAAAAGGTAATGGTGCCAGGGCCCATACATTGGCACTTATTGGCAACTGTCACATTGACTCTGCATGGCTGTGGCCCTACTCAGAGGCGAAGCGGAAGTGTGCTCGGTCCTGGGTCTCAACCTTGAACCTGATGGAGGAGTATCCAGAAATGAAATTTGCATGTTCTCAGGTATGTTGTTTATTGAAAACCGTTTTTTTTAATTGAAAAATAGCATACACAGGGGAAAAAATAAATTCAGAGAGCATCAGCATTCATTAAAACACTGACTACATTATAACTTGATGTGTCTGGGTCACTGTGTCACTGTTTGTTTCAAGGAAAGTATTCCCCATCGGAGATAAATTGTATAAAATACCAGCACCACAGAATAATAGACACAAATGCAGTAGTCAGTAAAGCATTGCATTATGCAGCATTTTTCACTTTTTCCACAGTATTCCATGTAGGTGTGGAAAAGAACACCTGTGTCCAGTTCAAAACGTTTTGCCACTTGTGGCAAAACTTGTTCCCAAACTTGTTCTCATGGTTGAAAAATTTTTGAAAAAAAAAAAAAAAATCTTATGAAATGATAGAGCATACTTTTGTGAGTGTTATAGGCCAAAAGTTTTTTTTTGTGATCGTACTGACTGAGATATGAAGGCCTGAAGTTGACAGAACGTGAGCCGCTTATGACAATATTGCTGACTGCCGGTCATGCAGTAATAGTTTTTTTTTTTTCCTACTTTTTTCTTTTAGTTTTTAACATTTTATTTTTTCAATTAACTTTTATGGCCTGTAAGACCAATATACGCAATATTTTGGATATAGACACTCATTGTATTCTACACAATAGCTGCGCAAACATTGACAGGTGAACATTTTCACCTATTTTAGTCACATACTATTGCCTAGAAATATATACATTTATAGGTCCCAGCAATGTTTTGGTGGGGAAGGGAGTGTGGGTTTCTGTGACCAACATGGCTGGCTGGCTGGCTCTGTCTCTGTCTCACAGGTACACATAAATACAATTATACATAGTGTAAATTACCTAGGATACAAGGAAGAATATATAATAATAATGATAATAATAATTGAAACATGGTGTAAGACCTGTGTGTCACTCGTCTTATCTTATCACTTCACTAATGACAGTGGTGACATTTGATGAATGTGTTTTATCACTTCACTAATGACAGTGGTGACATTTGATGAATGTTGTTTTATCACTTCACTAATGACAGTGGTGACATTTGATGAATGTCGTTTTATCACTTCACTAATGACAGTGGTGACATTTGATGAATGTCGTTTTATCACTTCACTAATAACAGTGGTGACATTTGAGGGGTAATGTTCGTTTTATCACTTCACTAAACAGTGGTGACATTGTGATGTGTTTTATCATTTCACTAAGACCAGTGGTGACATATCCCCCCCGCAGTACACTGCCTTCCACTTATCTGTTTACTTTACCTAATCTGTCCTGGTATTTATCTAGTTGTCTCTTTGTCTCAGAGAAGCCACTAGTGAACCCAACAAAATATTACACACAACGCAGTAGTCACTTGCGTCAATCTGGTCCCGATAAGTATTTAATTGCCAGTCTGGATTTTTTGGGTTATCCTAGGTAATTTACACTATGTATAATTGTATTTGTGTGTACCTGTTGGGACAGACAGAGACAGGGGACAGAACAGACACAGACAGACACAGACACAGACAGACAGACACAGACACAGACAGACACAGACAGACAGCCAGACACAGCCAGCCACAGCCAGCCACAGCCAGCCACAGCCAGCACAGCAGCACAGCCAGCCACAGCCACCACAGCCAGCACAGCTACCCACAGCCAGCCACGCCAGCCACAGCCAGCCACAGCCAGCCACAGCCAGCCACAGCCAGCCACAGCCAGCCACAGCCAGCCACAGCCAGCCACAGCCAGCCACAGCCAGCCAGCCAGTCAGCCAGCCAGTTTACACAAACCCACGCTCCCTTCCCTACCACCCACACTACCTCCAATCCCCCTCCACTGCCTTTCTCACCACCCACACTGCTGGAGAGTGAGGTATTCCTTATCGCTTGGCTTTGTGACAAAGGAGCACTGAATTATCACTCCCACAATGCAGTGTGGGTGCATGGAATTTTTTCCTACAGCACACACTAACCAAAGAGACCCATTGTATCACATGCAGGCCTACCAGCTCTCTCCCCCCCCCCCTCAATTTGAAGGCGCTAAAATTTATGCATACTGGTACGACACCAACCCTGGCGTGTAAGCCGTACTAGTAGGGCACCAGCCCTGAAAGGGTTAAAATTTGAAGAAGGCACCTTCCTCCATCTCTCTTCCTCCTCCTCTGAAGCAATTTCCTGAGCTTTGGTCTGTTGCTGTTGCAGATGAAGGTCTTGAAGCTCTGTAGTGGTTAGCTCTTCATCATGATCCTCCACCAACTCTTCCACATCCATGAAACTCACATCCAACCCCATGGAATTCCACAATGCCACATTACTTTCCACAACTGGCATAGGCTTCTCAGGATTAGCCCCAAACCCTTCAAAATCCATCTGGATGACACATTGTGGCCACAATTTTCTCCACGCAGAGTACAAAGTCCTGGAAGTCACTCTCTCCCAAGTCTTACCTATAAGATTTATGCAGTGGAGGATATTCAAGTGATCTTTCCAGAACTCTCTTAGGGTCAGTTCAGTGTCTGAGGCCACTTCAAAGCACTTTTGAAACACTGCTTTGGTGTACAGTTTTTTGAAGTTTGAAATGACCTGCTGGTCCATGGACAGGAAGGGAGGAGTGGTATTAGAGGGCAAGAACTTCACTGTGATGAAACGAAACTCCTGCACCATTTGTTCTTCCAAGTCTGGAGGATGAGCAGGAGCATTGTCCATTACCAGGAAGCACTTCAGTTCCGATTGATTTTCCAGGAGGTATTTCTTCACACTGGGGCCAAATACTTTATTGAACCAATCAAGGAAAATGTCCCTCTTGACCCATGCCTTACTGTTAGCCTTCCACATCACACACGAATTAGCCTTGCTGACACTGTTTTTCTTGAACACACTGGAATTTTCAGAGTGATACTCAAGTAAAGACTTTACTTTCTAATCCCCACTAGCATTACTACAAAACATGAGAGTTAGCCTGTCTTTCATAAGCTTGTGTCCTGGTAGTGCCATTTCCTCCTGCGTGAATGTGGGTCCTCTTTGGCATTTTCTTCCAAAAGAGGCCTGTTTTGTCATAATTGAACACTTGCTGGGTTTTGAATTGTTCAGTCTCTATGTACCCCTTGAATTCCTGAACACAGAGGCAAAGAAAGGAATGTATGAAAGTATAGTATTACCAACACTCTTATATGGGGGTGAAGCTTGGGTTGTGAATGCAGCAGCAAGGAGGCAGTTGGAGGCAGTGGAGATGTCCTGTCTAAGGGCAATGTGTGGTGTAAATATTATGCAGAAAATTTCGGAGTGTCGAAATTAGGAGAAGGTGTGGAGTTAATAAAAGTATTAGTCAGAGGGCTGAAGAGGGGTTGTTAAGGTGGTTTGGTTATTTAGAGAGAATGGATCAAAGTAGAATGACATGGAGAGCATTTAAATCTGTAGGGGAAGGAAGGCAGGGTAGGGGTCGTCCTCGAAAATGTTGGAAGGAAGGGATAAGGGAAGTTTTTTGGGTGAGAGGCTTGGACTTCCAGCAGGCGTGCATGAGCATATGTTCGATAGGAGTGAATGGAGACGAATGGTATTTGGGACCTGACAATCTGTTGGAGTGTGAGCAGGGTAATATTTAGTGAACGGATTCAGGGAAACCAGTTATTTTTATATAGCCGGACTTGAGTCCTGGAAATGGGAAGTACAATGCCTGCACTCTAAAGGAAGGGTTTTGGGATATTAGCAGTTTGGAGGGATATGTTGTGTATCTTTATACATATATGCTTCTAAACTGTTGTGTTCTGAGCACCTCTGCAAAAACAGTGATTATGTGTGAGTGAGGTGAAAGTGTTGAATGATGATGAAAGTATTTTCTTTTTGGGGATTTTCTTTCTTTTTGGGTCACCCTGCCTCGGTGGGAGACGGCCGACTTGTTAAAAAAAAAAAAAATAAGCTGTTTTTTTTTGTCATAACTGGCAGCCTCGCCATGCCTTACCACACTATGTATGCCACTATGCTTCTTAAGTATCTCAAACCAGCCTTTGCAGGCCTTAAAATCACAAACATCAGCACTCGTAGCTTTACAAGATCGTCATGCAACTGCCTTGCCTTTTCACAAATTATTGATTGTATACATAATACTATCTCCTGCTAACTGTTATTGGGTAATCCACACCAACAATAACCTCTCCACTACTTCGAGAATTTGCGATCTCTTTTTTGTCAGCATATCTACCCCTTTTGCAACAACAGCTTCCTTGATTTCCCTTCCCTTCGCCACAATCGAAGTGATGGTTGAATGATGGGGTGTGTGTTTCAAACACTCGCTTCACTTACATATTTTTCAATGATTTCTTTCTTTAATTTGATCGTGTTTCTCACTTTCTTTACCAAAGGGCTGGTACTAGCTTTCTTTGGGCTCATGGTGACTTATTTAGTAGTTGGAAGCGCAACAAAGAATGGAATATTACGAAATGTATCGTATGAATGCATGTGATGATGGTCTCTTGCTGATAAACAATGGCACACTGAGTATGAATGGTGCGGGAGACTGGCTTTGTGTGCATGATGATGCTGGGATGCCGCTCGGACGCGTACCAGATGGTCGCCGAATCATGAGGCCAATTATGAACCGTGAGGCTATATTTTTCCGAAAAAAGTTGCTTAAAGTTGGCTTTCACGAAAGTTGCGGCCGTCGAAACGTGGGGGTTAACTGTATTCATGGTTATTATTGATGTTAATTAAAGAACTACCTGTGGCTTCTAAGATTTATGGACTTGATTGAGTTATACATACCTGGAGGGTGTTCTAGGAGTCAACGCCCCTATGACCTGGTCCATGACTAGGACCTGCAGTGGATCAAGGCCTAATCAATCAGGCTGTTACTACTGGTCGCACACAAACCAATGTACGAACCACAGCCTGGTTCATTGGGAACTGACTTTGTCTGTTCAGCTTTAGTTTCAAGTAACTTTTTGGACTAGACATTAGCTCACCGCTTAATACAGTCCTTGCTAATTTGTATATGG